GCATTCTTCCTTGTACAGCTTCGAGTCCATCGTCTTATTCGTCACGAACACTTTGGTCTTTGCTCCGCAGCTGCATATCCCTTGCCAAATCATCAGTTTTTTGGAAAATTTGTCCATAAAAGCAAACTTAAACTTCGCAGGAACATCGCCATGTAGAATGTTTGGCCAGGAAGCTGTCCGAAATCCATTTTGACGTAGGTTTCATCGTCGATGAGCAGGCATCCTTGGTACTTCGTCAAAACCTGCTGGTAAAATTTCCGAGCTCGAGTTTTGGTGACGAAACTTTGCTTTGGTTGCTTGCTGCCTCGATAAGAACGATATCCTGCTCGCAAACGAATTCTTCGAACGGTACTGCGAGCAGCAGCGTATTTTTGTGCGATTTCATTATCTGATAGTCCAGGGTTTGCTCTGACGGTTCTCAAAACCTTCTGGTTCAGCTTGCGGTCATATGTTCCACTACGTTGCTTACCTTGAGGCACTCGATCCACGCTCTTTCGCTCCCTGAAACGTTTAAGCCCATCACACACGGTTGATTTGGCGATTTTTATTGCGGACCACGTTGAATTATCAACGTGGGTGTGCAGAATTTTTTCTCTCCTCTCGACTTCCAACTGGAATAATTTTTGACTCACTGCACGTAACACCGTAAAATTTATACCACAGAAAGTGGGCGCCTAGGTAACAACAAACCGTTGTAAAATAATTCTTGCAGCGGTCACTTTCCATGCCGCTGCAATACAATAAGTGATTCCGGATTCTAACTGGACAGAACTTTAGCGGATGCAGCATCTAACACCAACTTAGAAAAATCCGGGATGGTTAACGGATTGCGTTCGAGGATCATGGCCATAATTGTTCCCTGATACCCATCCCAGTCAGCCTCGTCGTACAGCCAGCGAGGCCTTTTAGTGACTTCTGGGGCCGTGGCTGACGAAAGCTGCATTTGGATGGGGTAATGATCACTTCTGTACAAATCCGCATTGGTGCACCACGTGGCTTTTCCTGCTATAGAACGGCTGATCGAAGAGACGTCGATAGCCGTGGCGTGACGTCCGTTGAAGAATGTTGGGTTTCCATGGTTGAGCACCGCCATGTCTTCCTGATCGAGTAGGTCCATAGTAGGATGCTTCCTTTAGGATCCGGACGAGGACAGTGTGGTGACCGACGTTGTGTTCAGCGTCCATTTTGTTTTATTTTTTTAGCTTTTTGAGGAGTGCTTATAAAAACTTCCTTCCGCACCAAAATAAGTTTTCTGAATGACGCTTTTTTCCGATTCCCAAACTTCCTAGCAATTATGACCATCTCACTCTCTCATAAGCGAAAACCACTCACTAATATTCCCATTTCACATCATCTCGTTTAATTATCAACTATGAATACTCACACACATAAGCATACCATCCTTTATTTTCCCCGAACATTATCGATCACACACACACGAGCAGACTAGTTAGTACTCACATCATCATTTCTCTCAAATTCTGGTGAGATCCATCTCAGACCATTTTATCATAGAGGTAACTCTAAGACAAGTAGGTCCCGAAGAAACGTGCTCAACTTTTTGGCTCACCTCTGGTACTATCTTCGGTCCCAAGCTTGTCGAATCACCCCTCGAAACATAGGAAAAACCAATAACCCCTCATTTTATCTGTCAAACTTTCATAACGAATCAAAACAAACATTGCGTAGTACTAGAATTTCGACTAGAATAGGGTACGTTAATCGTTTGCTTGGGACCAATAGGCTACTAAAGTGGTGAGCCAATTTAAAATCGTTAGTTTCGTATTGATTGTTGATTTTATTCTAATCCACAAACTACACTTCTCGGGGATATAATAAAATTATAGCACAAACGAAGTGACAGACGGAGCGGCTCGAAAACTTTGGTGACTAACCTGCTATTGCAATTTTTCAGTGTACCTCATGGCAACACCACTACTACTGGATTGTACCAAATGGCAACACTACTACTAAATTGAACTAGCATTTTCACCAAAATTTAAAAATGTACTAGAATGTTTTGGTTCTATCTCTTTCACTCTACTCAAAACTGAAATGCATAGAAAAATGACAAAATGATACGCACTCTTTGCACACTGTCAAAGAATCATTGTACACAAAATCAACTTTGTTCAAATCAAAACAAAAAAACTAACCATCTGGTGGATGATGGCACAAGCTTCCAAGAAAATTCTATTACAGTGAACCACATTATTTAAATGGATTTCTTCGCCAGTTAGTCGTCTGTCACTTCGTTTGTGATTATAGCTAGCTTTATAGTATAAAGCTCCCCACGGCTTCACACTAGCAATAATATCCATCATTTTGGCACTGGGACGATAAATGTCAATTATTTGCCGTTTTGTTTTGCTTGGATTTCTAGCCATAAACATTTTATTTTCCAACGGTCTGCAATATTTACTACAGACAGCACCAATCATGTTAGGCAGTTCGAATGACCCAAGTAACAATCATGTACCCATCATTTCAAACTGTACATTGGACAATTTTTGACCTATAATTATCTTAAATAAATTAAAGTTAATTTGGATGGGTGTTTTAGCGTGTTCTATCATTGTATATAGAAGAGCAATAGTTTGTATCGCTTAACTCGATTTTTTTACATTTTTTTTACTTAAGACCTTTTGAAAAGTGCCGCGAGAATTGTTGAGAAAATGCATGGTAAAAAGATGTTGCTCGTGGACATTACAGTGTGATTTACATCTCACTGTAGTCTGAACATTTTCCCAAGAAAGTCCACGTAAACAGGAACTGTCATCCGATTGAGGTCAACCCCGACGGTACTAAACATTATTTCGACAGTGAGCATGCATAAGGGCGGAAACGCGATGATCGGTTCTCTTCTTCGATTTTCTCTTTGGTTTAATAACTCGCTAGATTAAACGTTTCTCTGTGCGTTTGGTGTTGCTTTTGATAGCCAATACAACCTGTTACAACTCTGCATTGTCATCAGTGTTCACTCGGCTGTCGACAAAAGCAGACCACTTTCGATGTGTGCCACGCGATCGTCTGTTTTCTCGGCAGCAACCATTGTGTGGTCCTCCTCATTGTTCTTCATCAGCAGTTCTTTCAGTCGATGCGTCGTCGACTTTGGAAAGCAACCGTTTCGTGATGAGTGTGTGAGTGCTGACCACGTTTTGCGTCCATTGCTGCAATGGACGCGCTCTGACCCTCGTTGGCGTACAACAATTTGCCATACAATGAAACTACTGGAAGCGGCTCCAGTTCTGATGGAGGAGGCTTTTTGGATAGCGGAAGATAAAGTGTTTATTGTGTTGTACCTTTTGACTATAGCTTTAAGATGTATTGTATAGTGACCATGAATCCTCGGCTCTGTTAAGTTAATTCGGTTGAGCCTTATCAAATAAATTAATATACAAAAAAAAAAAAAAAACACTGCATTGAACAAATTCTAGAAAATTGTTTCGCTTAGTTGTAGCAATGCAAAGAGAAAATCGATTAGGAGAATCGATCATCGCGTAAAAGCCCTTATGCATGCTCACTGTCGATTTATACTAGTACGATGCTATCAACAATCAATACGAAACTAACGATTTTAAATTAGCTCACTACTTGATTAGCCTATTGGTCCCTTTACATCTATAAGTGTACCCTATTCTAGTCGGAATTCCAGTACTACACTATGTTTGTTTTGATTCGCTATGAAAGTTTGACAGATAAAATGAGGGGTTCGTGGATTTTCCTATTAGCGAATTTGTTTATTATCGGGGTTGGAACCAGTTCCAACCCAGTGTGAAACCGAACTTTTTGTCAGTGTGAACCTCAACCTGAGCTGGGTTTCAAAAACAAACGATCAAACTGACGTTTGTCAGAAAACAAGCAGACCCAATCTTGCTACCCGATCCAGGTTGGAACTGAATAATAAACAAATTCGCTATATGTTTCGAGAGGTGCATCGATTAGCTTGGGACCGAAAATACTACCAGGGCTGAGCCAAAATGTTGAGCACGTTTCTTCGGGACCTGCTGGTCTTAGAGTTACCTCTATGATGGTATCCCCTGAATCGTACAAACTTTCGATGGAATTCAAGTTGTCATTGCAGGCATAACATTTGATAACGGCACAAAAGCATTTGTAAACAAACTTTCTAAGGCCCTTTACACACGAACCAAAATACGCCCACGCAAACCAACAACATCATCGGATAGGGGCAACTATCACCTTTCCGAAAGCAGTATTGGTTTGCGGGGGTGTACTTTGGTTCGCATGTAAAGGGCATTAGAAAGTTTGTTTACAAATGCTTTTGTGTCGTTATCAAATGTTATGCCTGATTGGAAGATTTAAGCAGAAAAAATACTGTGGCCCATTAGCACCATCCCAAAGGAAAAGCGCGCAGCAGTTGTAGGTTATGGGAAAAGTTTGTTATCCTGCTCAAGTTTCTTCTCGTGGAAATGTCGTTTTGGTCCACAAATTCATTTCTTTTACCGCAAGCAATTTCCGCAAATGTTGCAAGGGACGTTTCCGTTCATGTATGTAAGTAGGTATATGACACAATTTCGATGGAGACACATGGTCTGCGTGCTGATGTCTGCCATCGGTCGTAGGCACTTGATGAATTTGAAATAGATTTTTTGGCAAAAATACGATAGATCCCACCACCGCAAATTATCGCCAAATAGAAAAAAACCTGTACATAAGTGAGCCATCGAAGGATCGTAAGAAGGATGAGAATCACCTTTAAAAGGTGGGACAAAGTCATAACGATAAAGCCATGCTGATAAGGAAGACATCACCGCGGTTGTCTATAACCGTTTAACGTAACACAAAGAGACACTTCCCCATCCCCTCCATTAAGGACATTTTCGCACGCGATAAAATTATGTCTCTCTCTCTTCGATACGCCCCAGAGCTTCCTAAGCTCAACCCATTTAGCAGATAAATTAATTATCCTCATGCATGACAGCTACTAACTAAAACCCCTTTTAACCCTTTTTTGCTGTTGTTGATTTGTTTTCAAGGTTGACGATTACTACGTAGCACGATACAAGCTGGAACACCACGGCGAACATCATCATCCGTACATTGTGGGCAATTACGACCCAACGGAGAAGCTCGGAGGACGAATCTACGCACCCCTTCCGGGAATGCCCGACACTGTGGTATGTGAAACAAGATAAATTCTAATTAAAAAGTCTATAAATTTTGATTTCATACTTAGGAACACGAGCACGGAGACATCCTGGTCGAAATCGAACCCGTAAAGTACGAACTGCGAAACATCAAACTGAACAAGCTGCGGACTTCCATCAAGAAAAACATCACCATTCTAGGTAGGTTTTCATTTTTGTCCACTCACTAGAAGAAGAGCATAAGCCAGGGATTACCTTCGTTATCCTTCGTGCTTTTTTCGCTTTTAGGATCGACCATCCTGTCGAACGAGGAGGACATCACGAACCAGGCGGAAACGGTGATTACCTACGATTACATCAAACTGACCTACTACGGTCGGCAGCAGGGCGTTGGCAATGGCGTCCCGACCAAGGTGATTGACCCGCGGTCGCAACAACCGGTCGACATCTTCTGGGGCGTTGAGTTGACGGAGCGGAAGTTTGAGGTAAGCTTCGTCTGATTAGCTAATTAGTGATCTGATTTGGAATCCGTTTTTTTTTCAGACCAAAGCCATCAATACGATTCTGCAACCGGGAACGGCCATCAATGTGACGCTGTTGGGCAACTATACCGAAATGGAGGCGCCCTATCATGCGAATCTGAAGGCGTACTACGACGATAATAGTGATCCGGTGTCAAGGAAGCTGACTGGATATGTAAGTACACATAAAATCGCATGTCGGCATCATAATTTATTTTGGAAATCCCCGCAGACGCTCAGCAAAGACATGGAAGACGTCAAGATCGAGTTCAGTCCGATCTACTGGATCGAGAATGGTACCGTGGTGCCGACGACGACGACCACGACAACGACCACCACCTCAACTACGGAGGCAACCACGACGTTCGAACCGGTCCCCATCACCAACACCCCGATCGATAGCATCGGCAGCCGTCTCGGCGATGGCGACGACATGATGAGCAACGAGATCGATCGCTCCAGCCGGGAGGAGGTGGCCAGCAGCCGGAGTATCGACAAGCCGGAAACCAGTATTAGCCTGTCGAGCGTCGGAGGCTCGTCCGGCAACAAGGGTGGTGCCGGCAGTGGGGCCGTAACGCGGTGGTCATCCTCCGGCGGAGCGATAGCGGCGACGGCCTGCTTACTGCTCGCAGTCGTGGCACAACGGATTTAACTTTAGGAGTATTTCGCTGTAGCTTGTAAGCTGTTTTCTTTTTGGAGAGAAAGTGGGTTTTAATATTTTCTACCAGGTTTAGTTTTGTTGTTCCTGTGAGCTATTTGTTTTATGATTTTTACCTTAATTTTAAATTGGAATGGAAGAGGGCGATCGAAATCATCGCAACGGAGTGTGCAGAATTAGCTACGTAAAGTGAAGGAAGTCAATTTCTCATCATATTGCTCTTGTTTTTTTTTCTTTTTATAAATGCTATCTAGTTTCATAAGTGCGCGTAAGTTTTAAAAACTAAGTTAAAGAAACCCTCTATATCATTCTCTGTTTAATTAGGCAAAGTGAAAGTTTACATCTACCACCACGAGGGAATAGTAGTTCTGTTTTTCTTTAGCGATTAATGTTAATCGAAGAAAAGGAAATTTGAACCAGTAATGCGCAACGTAATGTGCAGTCATGCAAAATGTAATATGATCTTTGTTCGTCGTGTAAATATAGTTAAAATATGATTAGTTTAGTATTATTATCTCAATTGATTATTGTGTAGGTAAACAGAAAAAGGCGTCCGACATGATTTGCTATTGAAGATTTTTTGTGCATATACAATTGTACTACCAATCAGAACATTCCAATGATGAAAACGATGGTGAGTCAAGCGCAGTTCATTTAATCTGGTTCAGGTGAAAACATTTTGGTTAAATAGAAAAAATAATTGCACTTGTTAATTTCTGACAACCGGAGAAAAAAAACTCAAAACCTACCTATAGTTCGATCGACACACTGCCAATAGCAAATTCTTCCATAGAGCATGAACCTACCCCGTAAATTATTCACTGAATATGGATATGAATATCTACTGAGCCAGATGAATTGTTCTTACTCACAATAAAATCGTTGCAAAAGAGGAGAAAACATAGGCGTTCGGTCAATTCAAATACTTTATATTAATTTACGTATCCGGGGTGAAGATCATCTTCAGCAGTAGGGAGGGATACTCTATTTCAAACAGGCGGCAAACAATGTCATCGCGTCTCAGAGCATCTTTTGCCTGGATTGTCGATTAATTTTCTTGATAAAAACCGTCCTTGGAATAGGCCCTCTTACTCTGTTAGGTGTTAGGTGACTCTTCGTGTAAATCAAATGGAGACGAGGTGACAATTGTCACGTCACCGGTGAGAGAGTTACGTGGCTCACAGAATAGGGGTGATGGAGAGTCACCTCACTCGCGGCGCAGAATAAGAGGGCCTCTCTACTGCTGATGTCGTAATTCCCCCAATGTAATAGGGTAACTGGTGCACCAAATTGAAATGTAGCAAGCTATGGCAAAAATTTCGTCGGCAAACTGATTTTAGGCTGGATCAGAATGCTTCTGAAAAAAGATAGGTAATCGTTCAAAAGAGAAAGAGGGAAACTGCTGCTCAAAACGCAAAATGCAATCATTCGGATAGAACATGAATTATGGGCCTAGTTCCTCACATAAGGTAGGAAGAGGTTAGGCTTAGGGCTTGCCTCAGAAGAAGGTTTCAATTTAACATTAACGTATCATACACCTGGCTCTGATTACCCGCCGAGAGAGACAGGACAACACTTTAAAAACTTTATGTAAAACGAGAATTACATACGGGGCTGTGGCGAAGAATACATGCGTGAACAAGGTAGAGCTCCACCGTCTGGGAGAGATACCCCGACGGCAGAAAAAATAGCCAACGATGAGAGCGCTAGATTTGGTTGTACAGTTGGGCGTCATTCAGGAAAGTGATCAGCGCAGCCAACGTCGAGGGGTCGTAACCAAGCAGATTACTGACGTTCTCCGGGAGTCCATGTTGTTCGCGTAGCTTCCGGAACTCCGGGCAGACACACAGCACGTGTTCCACCGAGGCGGGGATGCTGCAAATTAAACAAACCTTGCGGAAAGGTGTCCCACCGAAATTACAGGAAATCCTGGCATGGCCGGACCGGAGACTTGAAGTGATCCGCTGGTCCTTATACTTGTGGCTGTCCATCAAGGGTCGTACGGTATCCTGGATCTTCCTCAGGAAAGTGGTCCGCGTCTGGAGCCATTCCTGCTGCCAGGTTTCCATGATTGTGTTCGTTATCCAACGCCTGACGTCTAAGAGGGGTACGTTCCTGGTGTAGCGGGGACCAGATCCCGCCAGTCTGTCCGCAGTCTCGTTTCCGGGAACACCGCAGTGTCCGGGAATCCACGTAAAGACGGTTAAAGCATAAAGGTACCGGGCGCTTGTATCCAGGGGTGGCTCGGGGCTGCAGCTTCCAGCGCCTGGATGACGCAGTAAGAGTCCGTTAACACGAGGATCGGTCGATCTGCCGGAGTGATTGCTGCGGCTTCCGCAGAAAAGACGGAACATTCCTCCGGTAGATTTTGACTTATTGCAGTGTTCGGTTCTGCTACTCCGAGTCCAATTCCAGCCTGCGACCGCGATCCGTCTGTAAAGCGATGAACATGCCCCGGATAGACGGACCCGAGAAGCTCTGCAACAGAGGAGTTATCTCCGGCTTCTTCTTCTTCTTCTTCTTCGCATTTAAAGCTTATTGCATATCGCATATTAGCTTATTGCGTGCTCTCAACTTAGTGTTCTAGATGCACTTCCACAGTTATTAATTGAGAGCTTTCGATGGCTGTATGCATTGGTATAATTGTGTGGCAAGTCCAATCATACTTCTATGCCCAGGGAAGTCGAGAAATTTTCCAACCCGAAAAATTACTAGACCGTACCAGGAATTGAACACAGCCACCTCCAGCATGGTCTTACTTTGTAGCTGCGCCTTTGCCGACTGAGTTAAGGGAGGCCCCCAGCTTCCTGGGTGGCTTCTTGCTTATCTCCGGCTTGGAATCCACTTTTAATCCGCTTATCTATTTTGATAACGTTTGATCGCCAACTGTTCTCTCCATGCCAGTGGACCCTGGCCACCGGGGGAGGTCAAGGTTGACTGTAGTGCGGAGGGCTCTGTTCCCCTCCTTGAAGAGAAATACCCTATCGTTCCCGGATGTTTTAGCGGCAAGGGCAGCGGCTTTTGTGGCAATGGCGGCAGCAGACCGAAAGCGGAAAGGGAGGATTCCGATTTCCACACATGTGGCGTCTGCAGGCGTGGAAGGGCCGGATACGATGCGTACGTAGGTATTGTATGTTGGAGCGAGGATGCGGTTGAACTTCTCGGTGGCTAGGCAACACGAAGGCGGATCTCACGGTTGCTGGAGCGGTGCGGGCGGGAGATCGTCCTCACGATATTGATGCGGATACGACAGTTTTCTTTCACCATCCTGAAGTGCTGATCGAAGCTTAGGGTGCGATCCAGAACTACCCCCAGAACACGCACTGTTTTCTTTTTTTTTACTAGTTCGTTTATTTTGAAAGCTCAACCGCGTTAGCTTTACGGAGCCGACAATTCATGGTTCTTTGTTTGTAACAAAATTCTCTTAATTCTATGTCTAGTATGAGTTGGGCCGAATACTTGCGGCTTACTCGGTTAGAGAGGTACATTGTCGCCAGTATGAACGGTAGTGCGGTTCTAGTTTCGTCTGGAGTTCGACCGGCTATGGTGACCAGTGGGCGACGATGAGACTCATCGAGACGGGGGGACAAGACAAACAAAAACTATTAAAGAGAGAAAAAAGATACTTATACTAGACATTTGAAGAAACACATAAACCGACTGCATATAGCAGATATCGCGAGTTCCCAACACGTCTCTGATAGGAACATAGGGTTGTCTTCCTTGGGCCACGAGGATATTCAAAAGTCGCTCTCTGGCGGTGTCATTATCCGTACACTGCCAAACTGCGTGATCGATGTCATCGTAACCGTTTCCACGCCGACGAGGTTTATTCTATTGAGATGATCACTGTTTTCTTGAACGGAATCGGATGATCTTGGATGGTGATCGGTGGTCCCCGAATCAGATGGCCCGAGTGGCGGATATGGCACCGTACACTCTTTGGTGCGGAGAGCTGGAAGCCAACCGAAAACGCCCACCTGCTGACGGCGGAGACTGCTGCTTGGGCTATATTCCTAGTCCTGGAAACCAGAAAAAACTGACATTTTGCCACGTTTTATTCGGTGTATTGTTACAGAAGGATGCCGCACTTTTCAACGGAATTTTGCAAATTAAGCGTAACTATTTGTCTTAACTGCTAACTCATCCACGCAAACAAAAATCATCATTAGGTAGGGGAATCTTTCCCCTACTAGCTGGTGATGTTATAGCGAATTCGTTTATTATCGGCGTTGGAACCAGTTCCAACCCAGTGCGAAACCGAACTTTTTGTCAGTGCGAACCTCAACCTGAGCTGGGTTTTAAAAACAAACGATCAAACTGACGTTTGTCAGAAAACAAGCAGACCCAATCTTGATACCCGATCCAGGTTGGAACTGAATAATAAACGAATTCGCTATTAGTTTCTGTGAGCAGTGCTAGCAGTTGCCACAAATCGTCGATTGGTTACTAAATCAGATACGTAGATTTGAATAGTTACGCTTGAAATAATGACTACCGATACGGTCAAATCAAAAGTCACTCGAAGTAAATACAAAATTGCGGGTTTCCAAACCTTGCAGACAAAATAACTTAGCTGGCCGTGCAAATTTACTTTTATTCTCTTTGCGCGTCTTTTATAAAACATCGTCTCTGGCAAAATACTGTCTTTGGCATGGCCCTGACACATATCGGCTCACTTCAGTTGATGCGGATATTTGTATTTTCCTTCGTTTAAAGTATTCTCATTGTGAACAACCAGGCTGGGTTGATGCTCGTTTGTACTTGATTGTATCGTGAGTGGAGTAGTTGCAAGACAATCCCAGCCGAGGTCAGTGGGATTTTTCTGAGGCATAAAAATCTCTGGTCACGTCTTCCTTCGGAAGGGAAGTAAAGCCGTTGGTCCTGGCTCATGTGTGTTGAATGGGTGCGATATCCTACGCAGGTGTGGAAGCTGCCTTCCTGCACATTCGATTGCCCTCAATGGATGGCAATCACTCATAAAATAAACCACATAACCAGTGGAAAATATCCATGTGAATTTTACTTACCTTACCTTACTTACCAATCAGGCTAAGGCCTTGTTGTCCTCTGCTGTCCGAAGAAGTCGTCTCCACTCTACTCGATCCATGGCCACAGTTCGCCAGCCTCGTAGTCTGCGAAGGGTCCGCAGGTCACCTTCTACTTGGTCGATCCACCTTGCCCGCTGCGCGCCTCTTCTTCTTGTTCCTGTTGGGTCGCTTTCTAGAACCATTTTCACTGGGTCGTCGTGCGGCATTCTTACGACGTGCCCACTGCCCAGCCCACCGTAGTCGCCCAATTTTTGTAATGTGGACGATGGATGGTTCTCCCAGCAGCTGGTGCAATTCGTGGTTCATTCGCCTCCTCCACGTTCCGTCATCCATCTGCACTCCACCGTAGATGGTACGCAACACCTTCCGTTCGAAAACACCAAGGGCGCGTTGGTCCTCCACGAGCATAGTCCAGGTCTCGTGGCCGTAAAGGACCACCGGTCTAATCAGCATCTTGTAGACAGTCAACTTCGTGCGGCGGCGAATTTTATTCGACCGGAGCGTCCTCCGGAGTCCAAAGTAGGCACGATTCCCTGCCATAATGCGTCTTTGAATTTCTCTGCTGGTATCATTTTCGGCGGTCACCAGTGAGCCCAAATACACGAACTCATCGACCACCTCGATTTCGTCACCGTCAATCTGAACTCGGGGTGGGAGGCTAACATTGTCTTCCCTAGAACCTCTTCCTTTCATGTATTTTGTCTTTGATGACAAGTCCAATCCGTCTAGCTTCAGCCTTCAGTCTGATGTACGTTTCCGCCATCATCTCAAAGTTCCGTGCCATAATGTCAATGTCATCGGCGAAACCAAGGAGCTGGATGGACTTCCTGAATATCGTGCCACTCGTGTCTATCCCAGCTCTTCTGATCACACCTTCTAACGCGATGTTGAACAGCAGACACGAAAGTTCATCACCCTGCCGTAACCCCCTTCGAGATTCAAAGGGACTCGAGAGTGTCCCCGATACTCGAACAACGTACATCACTCGATCCATCGTCGCCTTGACCAATCGCGTCAGTTTATCCGGAAATCCGTACTCGTGCATAATCTGCCATAGCTGATCTCGATCGATTGTGTCGTATGCGGATTTGAAATCGATGAACAAATGATGTGTGGGCACGTTGTATTCGCGGCATTTCTGCAGAACCTGCCGAATCGCGAAAATTTGGTCCGTGGTAGCGCAGGCACCCATGAATTCCGCCTGGTATTGCCCCACGAACTCTCTTGCATATGGTGACAGACGGCGGTATAGAATTTGGGAGAGTACCTTGTAGGCGGCGCTCAGCAGTGTGATCGCGCGGTAGTTGCAGCAATCCAACTTGTCGCCCTTTTTGTAGATTGGGCATACGACACCTTCCATCCACTCCTCCGGTAATATCTCCTCCTTCTCCCAAATCTTGGCAATTACCCAGTGCAACGCTCTAGCCAGTGCTTCACCACCGTATTTTAATAGCTCACTTGGTAGTTGATCTACACCAGTTGCTTTGTTGTTCTTCAACCGACCGATCTCCTCCTCAACTTCTTGAAGATCAAGGGCCGGTAGCCTGTCGTCTTCTGCGCGTGCTCCAAGGTTTATTGCCGTGCCACCTTCGTTTTCTGCTGCTTCACCGTTGAGGTGCTCGTCATAGTACTGCTTCCACCTCTCAATCACCTCACACTCGTTCGTGAGAAGGTTACCGTCCAAGTCCTTGCACATATCGGCTTGCGGCACGTAGCCTTTGCGCGAACTATTTAGCTTCTCGTAGAACTTCCGTGTGTCGTTTACGCGGTACAGATTTTCCATCGCCTCGCGATCTCGGTCTTCCTGCTGACGCTTCTTCCTTCGGAAAACCGAGTTTTGTCTGTTCCGCGCTTGTCTGTATCGCTCCACATTCAATCTCGTGCGGTGTTGCAGCATTCTCGCCCGTGCTGCATTCTTCTCCTCTACTAACAGTTTGCATTCGCCGTCAAACCAGTCATTTCTTCGGTCCGGGATTGCAGTACCTAGTGCCGCTGCAGCAGTACTACCTATGGCTGAACGTATGTCCCGTAGTTGCTCAATGTTGGGTCGTGGCGTTCGACTTCGACGTGTGTTATGCACCGTCGAGAGTTTTGAGCGCATGCATACTGCAACTAGGTAGTGGTCCGAATCTATGTTCGCACTGCGGTACGTGCGGACGTTGATAATGTCGGAGAAGAATTTCCCGTCGATTAGAACGTGATCGATTTGGTTTTCTGTGTGTTGGTCAGGTGATCTCCAGGTGGCTTTGTGGATATCCTTGCGGGGGAAAAAGGTACTTCGAACTACCATACCCCGGGAGGCTGCAAAGTTCACGCATCGTTGGCCGTTGTCGTTCGATACGGCATGCAGGCTGTTTGGCCCGATTGCCGGTCTATACATTGCCTCCCGTCCTACCTGAGCGTTCATGTCACCGATGACGATTTTGACGTCCCGTTGCGAACAGCCGTCGTACACCTGCTCCAGCTGCGCATAGAACGCTTCTTTCTCGTCGTCGGGTCTCCCTTCGTGTGGGCAGTGCACGTTGATGATGCTGTAGTTGAAGAAACGGCCCTTAATCCTCAACTTGCACATCCTCGCGTTGATCGGCTGCCAACCAATCACGCGTTGGCGCATCTTACCCAGCACTACAAAGCCGGTTCCCAGCTCGTTGGTGGTGCCACAGCTCTGGTAGAAAGTAGCCGCTCGATGCCCGCTTTTCCATACCTTTTGTCCCGTCCAGCAAAGTTGCTGCAGTGCTACGACTTCGAAGTTGCGTGGTTGAAGTTCGTCATAGATTAACCTATCGCAACCCGGGAAGCCGAGCGATTTGCAGTTCCACGTTCCGAGTTTCCAATCGTAGTCCTTATTTCGTCGCGTAGGTCTGTGCCGATTGTTCCGATCCGTATTTCTTTATTTGGTATTTGCAACTTTGTTTTTTTTTTCCATCCGGGGGACCATCGTGCACAGCTCTGTTAAGAGTCCCACGCTGGCACTAGGACGGTGATCAGCCGCTCCTAACATGGAGAACAGACGCCGTTTTGAGCCGCACCTCCATGGTGAGCAGACGCTCAGGTTTGGTGAAGCATTTCCTCTATCACCGTACTATGGTTACCGCGCCAGTGTTCGCGTCGCACCTCTTCACTATGATATTGCCGGACTGGCAACATTGCCCAGGCTACGCCAACCAGCTGTGTCCATGTTTCAGCTGGTAGTCTTTTGTTATCATATGACTCGAGGAGGCGTGAAGTAGGAACTTGTGAGGACCAGGGCTAGGTATTCCGCTCCTTCCAGGTTGTCAACTCACCATTTTGTAGCCCTGTGAATTTTACATAATTTTTATTTGATCCCATAATTGGAAATTGCACCACTAAATCAAATGAACTTTATGTGTCCAATGAAATCTATATTATTTCTCTTTTCTATTTTTAGTTTTTGGAAAAATATTATGTGCGTTCCTAATAGAAACTAAGTGAAACCTTTTTTCAGTGATCGAGGTCCGTCGGTGATTGGCAACAGATTGCGGAACAGAGACCGACGTTAAATAAAGGAATGAAGAAGAAGAAGAAGATAAAGTAGTTGAAGACAAAATTGACAGCTGGGCACACAATCGGTTGAAGGTTGAAATCAAAGCGTGTTGATTTAAGGTGAGCGGAGTCCAAATCTGCCAACAGTCTTCTTCTTCATTCCTTTATTTAACGTCGTTCTCTGTTCCACACAAGGTGACTACATATAGGTGTTCTAATGTGTCAAATTCATGATTCAGCCATGTTGGATTTTTGTATGGGACAGCGACCGAGTTTGTTTACAATTTGATCTAAAACCGCACTTCCCTCCCCCCGCCGCCACGACCTCCTCGCCTATATAGTGACAAAGCTGTATCACCATTTATATACCCACCATGGTTCCGCAATCTAGTGCCAATCACTGACTGACATCGATTGCCATCCATTGACGGCATTCGAATGTGCAGGAAGGCAGCCTCAGACCTCGTCTTGGATTGAACCCAGATCCATTGGGTTCAGAAAGCAGTCACGCTTACCACTAAACCACCGGTGCCGGCCTGCCAACAGTCAGTGCTGCAAAATTTCAACAATACACGGCGATATTCATAATTCTGCTTTGGTCACTCATTTGAGCTAACAGTCAAGGCAAACCATGTGAATTGTCAGTGACAATGCTGTCAGTGACGAATATGTGCAGATTTTTTTATTAGCTAAATTTGTAACGAAATTAAATGACTCGAGCAAAAAAAAAGACATGGAGCCGTTAAAGTGAACAAGCATTTACGTCCTGAACTGCTTGGATAACAATAATGTGACACATAATGCACGAAATCAAACGTTTTGTTGCCAGGTGAATGTTTGTCATTGACAAAAAATGAATGAGATTTTGACAAAGGTTTTTTTGAGGATCAATTTTATCAGTGACTACGTGATAAACAATTATGTCAATATCGCGTGAAAGTCTGTCAATGACAATGACAAATCACTTCACAGCTCTGGCAAACAGTGAGTATTTTGAGTGGATTGGCCAACGGGTGACGTACAAGTTGAATAACAGTTGCGAAATTTTTCTCGGTTCTGTACGTTTGAGCATATTTGATTCGAGCTTGTCATACTGCTACATTTCAATAAAATGCATCGTCAACCTAAAAATGAAAACATCGACATAAATTTAAAAAATTGTTTCATCACAGCTAGATAACTTATTGCTTGCTTACCACAGCACGAACTAGGAATATCCAGGAAAGGTAATAGTAGTCTACACAGTACAAACCGAACAAGAATGATATTGAAAAGTTGTATGCCAACGTGAAACGAGAAGAGTAACAGTTTTTGGAGTTAATTTGACACAACCCCCCAAACTAGCATCTATGAGCGTCTCTTTTTATACAAAAAAAATATGTTGTTAAAAAAACGCGCATCGGAATATACTAGGATGAAAAAAACTTGCGTAGAATAATCGAATTATACAAAAAAAAAACAACTAAAAACAAAAGGAAAGTGGAAATGGAAAATCACAATAATAACAATCTCTTTCAAATCTATTCAAAACAAAAACAACAAAATCCAAAAACATATAAATGCCTTGCGTGTGTGATCAATATTCTTAACTTTAAACAACATAATTGAAACCGTCGTGTTAAAACAAACAAGCATTGCAGATTTGACGCCTGTGTTCTTTGTATCCAAACGGAAAACATTTAATAAATAATCTAAAACCCAGCAAGAGAAGAAACAAGAAACAATAGAAATTGAGAACGAGATCACTATTTTGCCGTACGGATAAAAGGTTAAGTCGAAAACGCTGCAAGCTAAAAAGGCATGAGAAAAAGCTTTGCTTGAAACGCTTGTTGATTCGTTTATTAATGTCCTTAAAAGCACTCAATTCTAAAAAATAAAGCGGTATTAAATGATTTCATCTTTGAAAAAAAAAAACGGTACGTGTAAAGTTAACTTTGATGAAGAATTAAAACAAAACCGCATAATAGTTGCCTTGATTTGCCTGTGCTTCTTCGATCTTTTCTTATTTACAAATGTGTAAAACAACTGTAAAAAAAATCAACTATTTATTATATGTGGAAGCGAAATTAGCTATACCTGCCAAAACAGAACAAAACAAAAACGGAATTAACTCCTAAGTGTAAAATAATACAAGCAAGCAAAATCAAAGCAACAAACGAAACGCCATTTGTGCTGAGTAAATTTTAACGAACGAAGGTAAACGATTAGGGAAAATGGATCAGAAGGAAAATGAATCAGTAACAACCAGACAAAACAAAATAGCGCCACCAGTTGAAACCACTTTTCTCCTACGACCCTAACTGCTCTGTTGCAGAACACTCTCTTGTACATCTGTACCCTTCTGACACCGCTCCCAACTGAGTCCCCAGCAGAAGTTGAAATGAAATTATACAATGCGAAGAAGAAAATAAAAACAGACGCTATTTTTATAATCGTATTTATTACCAGTAGCGAGTAAGTGTAACGATTAACCACACTGTAATAACCGGCAGCGTTGGAAGGGAAATCAAAATCCATGTTCCGTCTCCTTTTTTCCCTTGAAAAATGTTTGAATATTGCTAAAATGAAACGCGCGAATATTAAAAAAAAAGGAAACAGAAAAACACTAGCCCATAAGTTGAATGTAGCTTAAGATATAAACAAACAAAAAAACAATTAAGAGGAAAAGCAAATGTGAAAGCAAGAGTGAAAACCAATCGAAATGGGATATGCAAAATGCAAAGGAAAATGGGGAAGAAATGGTAAGCTGAAAAAAAAACGGAACCGTTATAATTTGTTGATTGTATATTATTGTAATGTAACTGTATTATGATGCAAAAGTGAACAAAAATATTCTCAATAAAAACGAAGTGATCGTAAGAAAGTTTTTCCGTCTCGAAATTGTTGATTGAATATCACAAATTTCATTACCTCCACCAAACAGAGGCTTTCTTCCCAAAGAAGAAGGCAAACCGAAGAATCACACCCCATAACAAAAATGTGCGTTTCTCTCGCTTTTAACCGTATACTGTTTTAACATAATTTTTCAAATTAAACGCTATCGGTGCTCTTCGTAAGTGCCGCAATAAGCCCGAGCAGATCCAAGTACTCGGTAAGTTCATCATCCTGTAGGGCGTCTAAACTGCTAACTTTCGTCACCTGGAATGCTTGCTCTATAGCAACAAAAAGATTGAGCTTGCTGATTTCCTCCGCAAGCATAACATCGACGTGGGCCTTTTAACCGAGACCCACCTAAAGTCCGGCGACAGCTTCTGGTTGCCTAACCACAACTTTACCGGCTTGATCGCACCAGCTCCAGGAGGGGGTATAGTCGCTATATTCATTGTCTGGCGGATAGAATCTCGGGAACCAATTGAGCTGTCAAATAGCGGAATCAATCGAGCAAATCACGACCAACAACCGAAAAGAGCACATCAGCTATTGCGAATAAAACTTCGGAAACCCTTTTCTGGTGACTCAAGACTCGCCTAAACAAAATAACACCATCTTTGGGTTGGCAAAAGTTTCCCTATCCGATAATGCCGGTAATTTGCGTTCGATTGGCGAGGAAAGAATAATCATCGTTTTGTTTATAAAAGTTCATCGTACCTTTTCAATTGTTGGTCTAAAATATATTGAATTTATTCCGCTTTATGATAGATCGAAATTCTATCCGCCAGACTATTAGCGAATTCGTTTATTATTCAGTTCCAACCTGGATCGGGTATCAAGATTGGGTCTGCTTGTTTTCTGACAAACGTCAGTTTGCTCGTTTGTTTTTAAAACCTAGCTCAGGTTGAGGTTCACACTGACAAAAAGTTCGGTTTCGCACTGGGTTGGAACTGGTGTTAACCCCGATAATAAACGAATTCGCTATATGAATGTAGCAACTATAGGAGGGGGTGGTGTTACGGTCGTCAAGAAAGGAATTAAGTTCTACCCCCTGCCTTACATCCGCACTTTTAGATAGAGCTGAAATAAGGGCGTAACAGCTTTTGTAAACAATGACTTCTCTCGATGATTTCTCGGAAGTCATGGCTCTCCCTGGAAAATCGACATCACCATCGAGTAGAGGAAGACTTCTCCTACCCGGTGGATATGTTGGTTTGTGTAGGCGTGCCTTGATTTCCGAGAAATCAACCAGAGAAGTCACTGTTTACAAAGGCTGTTACGCCCTAATTCCAGCTCTATCTAGACTTGTATCATCGAAGCTCTTATAGAGAATTCGATTTTTATTCAGTTCCAACCTGGATCGGGTATCAAGATTGGGTCGGCTTACTGCCTGTCGAACGTCAGTGTAAACGATTGTTTTTGTAATCTGACTCGGGATGAGGTTCGCACTGACAATAAGCTCGGGTTCGCATATTTTTGTTTTCGCTATAGTGTGGAGGTCGAATCGCCAACTGGAAATGTCCGGTTCATCACTGTTTACTGCCCTCGACAGTGTGCCACCGACAACGGATTAGCAAGAAAGTTCAAGAACAACCTGACCACCATCACTCGTACTAGCTCCCGATTCATCGTTGGGGCGACCTGAATGCCCCCCATGAAGCTTGGCGGAGCTACCAGCGGTACCGGAACGGATGTCTTTTGTTCGACCACGCACAACATGAACTGTACACTGTGCAGTTTCCGGATGAACCATCTTTCATCTCTCCTACGGGTAATCCATCCTGGATTTTTTCCTGTCGAACGTCGGAGTATCCAAGTCGGACAACAATCTCAACTTCGACCACCAACCGGTGGTGACTGCAACGTGGTTCCTGCTAGAATTTTTTTTTTATATCTTTATTAAGGAGACTTTCAGCCGTTGGCTGGCTCGTCTCCGAAAATTCCTGCTAGAAGCTGCATGGGAAAAGACTACCACCATGTCCTCTGGGTGCAGTACGGACGAACGATGGACAGAAACATCGAAGAAAATCCACCGCTCGACACCGTAGATGATATCGACCGGGCGTTGGAAGGACTCCACCAGGCCATATCCGAGGCTGACGAGGCATGTGTTCGACAAGTTCCTGTGAGGGGTACGTTTGTTGCTATTGATTCTCACACCCAATTACTAATTCGCTTGAGAAATGTTCGTAGACGCCAGTTTCAGAGGACTGGAGATCTGGGCAAAAAACGTGAAATGGCCGATCTGAACAGGCAGATCCTTCAAAAATGGACTCACTCCGAAATGAAATGGATGAAGTTCGAGGAAACTTCTAAGAAAAGTTGGAAAAACATCCGGGAAACTTCCAAGACACGATTTGAGAAACTTGTGGCGAAAATTTAAATAAACTACCGAAAAAAAAAATAAATCGGATGTCACATCCAAAGGAAGCCAGAAAATTTTGGAAATCGGAAGTAAATTTCCAGAAGTAGCCATTTCCAGGGAAAGCCAGAAGAAGCTCGGAAAAACTTTCCAATAGAAGTCGAACAAAAAAACCTTTGGCTTATGGTCAAACTTCCAGAAGAAGACGAAAGAAATTTCTGGGAGAATTAATTGAACTTCCTGGAGAATACGAAAGAAACTTCCTGGAGACGCTGTTGAAACAGTTAAAAGAATCCAGGACATAATTCATAAATCCCTGAAGACTCCGCAATTTCCCTGAAGTTTTCGGAACATTCCTGAAATGCACTTAGAAATAATTCCTAGAAATTCCTTAAAAGTTCTTGTAATTTTCCTAAAATTAGGGTCTTTATTGGAGTTCTCTGGTCATTCTCGAAGCGCTCGGAATTTTCCTGATTATAATTAGACTACCGGGATATCTCTAATCATCTTTAAAGGTCTCTGGACTTTCTTGAAAATTACGAAATCTCTTAAGTGCTCTCACAATTTCTTGAATTTATTGTAACATCAGCATTGAAGTTCTCTGATCAAACGGCGCCGGTGGTGTAGTGGTAAGCGTGATTACCTCTCACCCCAGCAGGCCTGGGTTCAATCCCAGTCGGCGCCGCCGGGATGTTCTGAGGCATATAACATCTCTGATCATGCCTTCCTTCGGATGGGAAGTAAAGCCGTTGGTCCCCGGTTCATGAGTTGATGGGTCGATAGGTAGGGTCCAGGTGTCGGAGCTGCTTTCCTGGCACGTCGGTAGCATTGGTGCTCAGCACGGAAAACAAGATCGACGGAAAAAACAAACCAAAGGAAAAAAAAAAAAAAAAAGTTCTCTGATCTTTCCGATTTTTTTAAATTTTAAAAGTGATTGACTTTGGAATTAAAAAGCATAGACCTTCTCATAAAATGTTCTCACAATGTTCTAATGTTCATGTAACTTCCCTTACGTTTCCTAAATTTGCATGAGCCCCTCAGGACATTGCTGAAGTTTTCGGAAATTGCCTGAGTTTCTCGGAACTCCTTTATAATTTCAGCAATTTCATTTGAAATTAATTGATCTGTCCTGATGTTCTCTGAGCTTCACTAAAGTTCCTGAAAACCATTAAATTTCCCTTAAGCTCTTTGAACTTGTGAAGTTTCCAAAATATTTATGATGTTTCCTTAAGTTCACTGGAGTTCGCTGGACTTTTCTGAAGTTTCAGAACTTCTTAAATGTTCCTGCAGCTAGTGTGGATCCGCAATAAAAATCTGATAGCATCCTTGAAGTTCCGGGAAAGTTGAAAACAGGCGGGAGAAGACGAAAGAATCATTCGAGCGAAGGCTGAAGAAGCTTCCAAGGTAAGGTGGAAGTAAATTCCAGGGAAAGAATTACCGGAAAGAGCCATCGACTATTTCTCGATTGATGGGTAGCCAAAAACGTTGAGGAAATGCAAACATGAGTCGAATTTTGAAGGCTCAAAAAATATGAGGTATTCAAAAAAATACAAGTCTCTCACAAAAATTTTCTCCGAAATTCGAGCGCGGGCTTTGATTGTTTAAAAACAAAAATCGGTATAAATCGGTATACAATCTAAAAAATCGGTATTCTGAGGAACCTTATCTGTATATCGGTGGGGCTTATTACGGATGTCATTTCACGGTGAAAATTTGTCACTTGTCGTCACGGAAGTGATTCCCATTTGATGTGTACGGCAATCACGGCTCTTATTCTCAATATCACTTCCTTATCACCATGTAGTGACATCCGTAATAAGGCCCGATATCTAGTTCGGGAATCGGTATAAATACCGATAAACGCTGGTCGTGAGCCTGTGCTCTAGTTTCACTCAGGGATGCCAACATTGACGACTTGAAAGTTCCTTTTACAACACATTCCTCTTGCTCACCGCAGTGCCATCACAGTAAAGACATTCTCAGGCATTTCCAGCATCTGTATTTTAAATCAATATCTAGCTTAATCGTGTTTTGTACACAACCCCACCATTTTTTTCATATGGTAACCCTATGTTGCTTGTCAGTGTAGATATCTTGAAAAGTACGATTTGGTTACCGTACCGCACTCAAGACAACAAGGCTTTCTCAAAATATAAACCAGTCGAAAGGCTTTCAATTTCAAACAACAATTCCGACTTGATGTTATTTGTAAATAAAATCTTATTATAATATGAACAAAAAAAAATAATTGGGAAGCAGTGTTATTTTCGATTATACGTTCTTTTACATTTTAATATAACCTAGTGCTACCTTGCGTCGGTAAATCTATTTGCTATTGCCTTACGATCGAACGAACGCAAAACTGCGGAAAAATATAATCAGTTCATACCTTTTTCGTTCCCATCAACTTCAAGCAATACAAGATGGAAGAATTCAGCGCACTTTTAAGTCCTATGAGTTAATAAATTAATTAAGTAAATATATCCTATCTCGCGCGCCTTATCGTTATTTTTGATTGTTAATAGTAAATGAACGTTTACAATCACTTAATTTGATCTTTTATTCAATAGTTCACCTACTGGGTATTTCAAAAGGATTAGTTAGATTTCTTTATTAATTCACAATGAACTGTTTATTTTAATGTACGGGTAGGTTAATTATGGCGGTGCTTTAGTCTTACCATTAGGAGATTTTGGGTAACGTCGTTGGATACGAGAAATTATTGTTTTGAAGGACTGTGAAAATTGAGTATAAGCTAAGCCCGAAGTACGGAAATTATTAACAACCTGAAAGTATGTGTATTTCACGAAGATGAATATTTTTTTCACATATAAATGGGAATTCCAATAATTTCAGGTATTCAAACTTTCTGTAATTATTTTAAGGAACATGGAACGAGCAAATATATTAAACTTTGACAGCGTATAATCCATCAACAAAATTGTAGAGTTTGAAATGATGATAACCAAGCGATGGCATTGCTTGCAAAAAAATACGATTCGTCCAGAAGAAATTTAGACAAAATACCTTACTCGTTAGTTGGAAAGTTCAAATATTAGCAAATTCTTACGTTATATTTCAGAAGATGATTTTCAATAAAAATGGCAATTTTAGTAACAAAATTCAAACCACGTATTGTACATACTCCATATAAAAAATAAACTTCATCTATAGCATTAAATTCTTCGCGGTCCTAGTTACGGAATAAGACACTGGATGTGAGCTAGCAAGCTGCGCGAAGATGATGGGACAGACATACCAACACATCGAATCGGCCAAAATATCGATGGATTCTGTGACCTTATCGCTGTTAGTTTTCTTTTCTTATCTGTGCGTAACGACAGTGTTAAATAATTGTGTCGCTGACACACAAATTTGCACGATAAGAAACGTACGAGAAATAATGGCCGCTTTGAAAACAGCTGACAACCACCCACAAATCCGCAACTCTGGTAGATAACGGGAGTCGAGAGTACATTGGCCTCTTCCAGTACATTTTAACATCCCGGTGTACCACCTCCAAAGCGTCGAGGTGGGCGGCGAACCCGCTTGACACGAATGGTGTGTAATCATGAATCCACTGCGGTATTGTTTCCACCAGCACCCAGGGATTCTTCCTCGTCTCGATGCGACTGCCGTGAACTGGACGGACCTGCTGTGGGAGATCCAATGGCGCCCGATGGGTTGGAATTCGTTCGCGGAGGTGACACCACTAGCATGTTGACGGAAATCAGTAGCGGGTAGGTGAGCTCCTTGTCAAACATAATCAGCATCGCTTCTTCGTTCTTATCCAACGATATCGTCTGGATCGGTGTCGTCTGCTGGTGCTTGATCTGCCGCAGGTCGTTGAGGGAAGTTAACGATACACGGATCAGGAATTGTCGTTTTACCTGCAGACTTAGCAGCCGTTCGTTCTCCGTTCGATGATGTCGCTTTACTCGCAGAGTTTTTGTATCCGATATCAGGATCAGGTCCAGTCCAAAATTAAATCCCGTCCATCGCCACTTCAGATATTCATTTTCCGGAAGGGTTCTTCCACATCGTATGCAAGTATCCAAGAACAATTTCTCGTCTACATCCTTCGGTCCCTTGTCCAGCGATTGGTCAATCAATAGCATGCTAGTCCACTGCTGGAACAGAGGCTCATACATCCATTCCACAGATACAATATTATCCTGCTTCAGTACCCTTATATCTACATGGTGATTAAGTAAATTGTGCAATCTCAACGCTCGGAAGCACTTTTCGAATTGCCTTCCCTTGGGCGTATTCAAGAATGCCACCGAACTCTGTCGGTTAGCAAAATACTGCAGCTGCTCGTCCGATGCACCGAGCTCCTCTCCCCCCAGGTGCAACTTCAAGTACATCCAATACCTCAGCAGCGTATAGAGCGATAGCTCGGTCTGCATCACATACAGATCTGGACTGGCCACCAGCAGTTCCATCAGCTCGACGCTAATCAACCGTAACCACTTGCCGGTTTTGTAGTACAAACTCAACAGGTTCACCAGCAACCAATTGAAGGTGGATTGTTTTACACTCTTCACACCATACTCGCAAGCGGCTTCGTAATATTTAACTGCCGTCTGAAACAAAGATGTAAATTGAGAAATATCTTTAGTAACCACATGTTAATTATTATGATACACCTACCTCCGCATTGGTCGTCTCAATCATCACCTCCGCGCATCGATCGATCAAACTGTCCAACTGAAAGAGTGTGGCCGTGGCCAAAATCGACACAATCTCCCTGGGTTCCAGCACGACCTCATCCATGTATAGCGACCCGAACACTGAGAACAGAGATTCAATGGATATTTTCGGGTCCACAATCTCAATGTGAACGTAATCCTCGTCCGCTTCCCGCCACGATCCGTTGAACATACTCGCAAAGTAGGGACTCTGGCTTAGGTAGACCTTGTGCAGGTGCCACACCTTCCCGAGGGCATGCACCGTAATGTCCGAGTTGCGTTCCTCCTTGAACAACGCCTGGTAGATGTACTTGGCCGTCGAAATAAGCTTCTTCCTACAACAAGATGCAAAGTGCATAAGTACCTATGTATCCCATTTCATCCCACCAGCAAAGTCAACAAAGCGTGAAAATGTACCGTTTGGGGGTAGCGAGTGATCTGTCGAGCAAATCGTTGATCTCCTCATTGGTGTCCGAGTTATCATCTTCGCGTTTACGTTTCTTGCCACGCATCGCTTGGATCGGACTTTTGACCTTGTCCATCACGTTGCCCATTCTACGGCGGGTTGATTTACTGAAAGAGATGGATACAATATGATTAAACATTATTTATCGAACTTTTTGTAGGTGAAAAAAAAGTTTAAAGCATCAAGTTATTGTTCGTACTGGTTTTAATAGTCTATGCCAAAACATCCGTAAACTTCCGACTCACCAAAACAGAGAACAAATTTGTTTTTCTCGATAGTATACTACCGGTAATCGCAAGTCAGTCCCATCTGCATTTTTATCAATTTTGAGTTAGCATCATTATTCAGTTTATCTTTCTATGTTTTTTTAGTTGTGCTATTGAAAAAAGTGTTCAGGAAAAATGAAAACCAATACCAAGTCAAATTGTCCCACAGCGAAAAGTAACCGCAAGTCAGTCCCATTAAAAAAAATATGTTAGAAATGTTAGATAACAGATCGCATCATGAGATTTGTCTCAAGACAGATTTTGTTCACTTCCCCTAGGATATCTGGAATATGTCCGGATGTGGCCAATATAGTTTTCACGATTTTCAGTTTGAGTTTGGATATGGCTAATCTCATGGGATTTGATGTATGGCTTGAAGGATTTTGATTTAAAAATGATTCACCACTTCCCCGGTTATTTTTCTCATTGACGTTAAATGTAATCGTCAGTCCCACTTAGATTTTGGTTATAAAATAAAAAATTCATATTTTATTCAACATCTTTTAGTAAACAAAGAATCGATCTATACCATTGCACGTTCATTTTCAAAATTATCCCTTAAAAATAAGTGTAACATGAGAAAACTTGTAAAATTTGTGAACGCCATTTCTCTTTCCCAGGAACTAATGAAGCAGGGAAGACATTCAGCTCAACTACCATAAACCGGACTAGTTCATGTTGATCTTCGTCAAGCTTCGTCTACAATTTGGACTTCTACATCAACACATGTCAGGTAGCATTCAGGTTCAATTGGCTAAACTTGGTGAGTTCGTTCCATTTTGTAAATTTTTATCTTTTTAAACCAGTAACGTTGGGAGATCACCTTTTTTGTGGTGCGTTACTGATATAAGATTCACTACCGAACCCTAGTCGTTAGAACTAAAGAGCCTAAATTTATAAAGAGGCGATATTTCAAAATTGGAACAATCGATTGTCTGTCAAAGTCATAGAAAAAGTCATTCCAATCGAGCAGAAGACCTGTCAAATGGATAAGATTTTTTTTTTTTATTATAGTCACTTTAACGCTCTTGGGTCATTCGTGACTTGTCCGGGGGTGAGATTTGAACTCGTGACTTTGGCGTGAGAGGTATGGATGCTAACCACTACGCCGGGGTCGCCCCCTCGATGGATAAGATGTCGTTTCTTTATAAATTCAGGCTCTTTAGTTAGAACTTAGTTAGTTTAGTCAAACTGGAGAATCAGGATTTTCTAGTTCTTGACCCGGGTAGTGACCACCTATGCATTTCTATATTGTATATTTCAATTCAAAAATATTGTTTATGTTCATAGAGTTTACATAATCTTTTTCCCTTTGTCCTTCTCTTTTTCCTTTCCCTCTTCTCTTTTCAGAAAGCGAGTAATGGCGCTATAGCCATACACTAAAAAAAAATTTATCACATATCTAATGGATGAAATCCATGTGAATTTTACATAGATTTCCTGTGATCACATAGCAGCAAATCCCACCACAAAATCACATGAATATTATTGAGGTCGATGAAATTCTTTTGCAAAATCACATAAATTTAATGGGATCGCATAAATGTTATGTGAATTTCAGATGAATTCCATTAATTTTGATTATGGATGAAAATCATGTGCATTTCTAACGGAAGGTACATGCAAACTTTTTTCGGTGTAAGGCAATGTATAGACCGGCAATCGGGCCAAACAGCCTGCATGCCGTATCGAACGACAACGGCCAACGATGCGTGAACTTTGCAGCCTCCCGGGGTATGGTAGTTCGAAGTACCTTTTTCCCCCGCAAGGATATCCACAAAGCCACCTGGAGATCACCTGACCAACACACAGAAAACCAAATCGATTACGTTCTAATCGACGGGAAATTCTTCTCCGACATTATCAACGTCCGCACGTACCGCAGTGCGAACATAGATTCGGACCACTACCTAGTTGCAGTAGGCATGCGCTCAAAACTCTCGATGGTGCATAACACACGTCGAAGTCGAACGCCGCGACCCAACATTGAGCAACTACGGGACGCCGGAGTTGCCCAGGACTACGCGCAGCAGCTGGAAGTTGCACTACCCATGGAGGAGCAGCTTGGCGCAGCTACTCTTGAAGATGGCTGGAGGGACATCCGTTCAGCCATAGGTAGTACTGCTGCAGCGGCACTAGGTACTGCAATCCCGGACCGAAGAAATGACTGGTTTGACGGCGAATGCAAATTGTTAGTAGAGGAGAAGAATGCAGCACGGGCGAGAATGCTGCAACACCGCACGCGATTGAATGTGGAGCGATACAGACAAGCGCGGAACAGACAAAACTCGGTTTTCCGAAGGAAGAAGCGTCAACAGGAAGACCGAGATCGCGAGGCGATGGAAAATCTTTACCGCGTAAACGACACACGGAATAAAGCTAAATAGTTCGCGCAAAGGCTACGTGCCGCAAGCCGATATGTGCAAGGACTTGGAAGAACGAGTGTGAGGTGATTGAGAGGTGGAAGCAGTACTATGACGAGCACCTCAACGGTGAAGCAGCAGAAAACGAAGGTGGCACGGCAACAGACCTTGGAGCACGCGCAGAAGACGACAGGCTACCGGCCCCTGATCTTCAAGAAGTTGAGGAGGAGATCGGTCGGCTGAAGAACAACAAAGCAACTGGTGTAGATCATTCCAAGTGAGCTATTAAAATACGGTGGTGAAGCACTGGCTAGAGCGCTGCACTGGGTAATTGCCAAGATTTGGGAGGAGGAGATATTACCGGAGGAGTGGATGGAAGGTGTTGTATGCCTAATCTACAAAAAGGGCGACAAGTTGGATTGCTGCAACTACCGCGCGATCACACTGCTGAGCGCCGCCTACAAGGTACTCTCCCAAATTCTATGCCGCCGTCTGTCACCATATGCAAGAGAGTTCGTTGGGCAATACCAGGCGGGATTCATGGGTGTCCGCGCTACCACGGACCAAATTTTCGCGATTCGGCAGGTTCTGCAGAAATGCCGCGAATACAACGTGCCCACACATCATTTGTTCATCGATTTCAAATCCGCATACGACACAATCGATCGAGATCAGCTATGGCAGATTATGCACGAGTACGGACTTCCGGATAAACTGACGCGATTGGTCAAGGTGACGATGGATCGAGTGATGTGCGTTGTTCGAGTATCGGGGACAGTCTTGAGTCCCTTTGAATCTCGAAGGGGGTTACGGCAAGGTGATGGACTTTCGTGTCTGCTGTTCAACATCGCGTTAGAAGGTGTGATCAGAAGAGCTGGGATAGACACGAGTGGCACGATATTCAGGAAGCTCCTTGGCTTCGCCGATGACATTGACATTATGGCAAGGAACTTTGAGATGATGGCGGAAACGTACATCAGACTGAAGGTTGAAGCTAGACGGATTGGACTTGCCATCAACGCATCAAAGACAAAATACATGAAAGGAAGAGGTTCTAGGCAAGACAATGTTAGCCTAACACCCCGAGTTCAGATTGCCTGTGACGAAATCGAGGTGGTCGATGAGTTCGTGTATTTGGGCTCACTGGCGACCGCCGAAAATGATACCAGCAGAGAAATTCAAAGACGCATAATGACAGGGAATCGTGCCTACTTTGGACTCCGGAGGACGTTCCGGTCGAATAAAATTCGCCGGCCCGCGAAGTTGACTGTCTACAAGACGCTGATTAGACCGGTTGTCCTTTACGGCCACGAGACCTGGACTATGCTCGTGGAGGACCAACGCGCCCTTGGTGTTTTCGAACGGAAGGTGTTGCGTACCATCTACGGTGGAGTGCAGATGGATGACGGAACGTGGAGGAGGCGAATGAACCACGAATTGCACCAGCTGCTGGGAGAACCATCCATCGTCCACATTGCAAAAATTGGGCGACTACGGTGGGCTGGGCACGTCGTAAGAATGCCGCACGACGACCCAGTGAAAATGGTTCTAGAAAGCGACCCAACAGGAACAAGAAGAAGAGGCGCGCAGCGGGCAAGGTGGATCGACCAAGTAGAAGGTGACCTGCGGACCCTTCGCAGACTACGAGGCTGGCGAACTGTGGCCATGGATCGAGTAGAGTGGAGACGACTTCTTCGGACAGCAGAGGACAACAAGGCGTTAGCCTGATTGGTAAGGTAAGTAAGCCATAAGTCATAAAAGTCAAGGACAAGAGTTAGTGCTCATGTCCCAACCGTCAGAAGAAAATAGAGCATCACTTAACTTTTCTAGCTTTGATGCTTCCAACGATCAACCAATCATATAATTACCAAAATCATAGTTTTATGCCAATTGTAATTGAAAGAATTCCTATAAATTATTTTATTAAATGAATTTCTTCTCAAATAAATTCTTCCATTCATTGGATTCTGAAGCATCGTGTTTAAGTCTTCGATTTAAACAGGCCCGATGTATTCTGAATCATCTTGCCCCTTAAATGCTGCACAGTAGGCCTGGCCCTTTTGATATGTTTAACGCATCTTCGATGTGAAACATATATCAATTAGACAAGAAAAATGATCGATAACAACGCTCTTGATTGGCTTCTGACCGACTTGAAAATACTAGTTAAAAAATCGTTTGAAAAGCCTCCTGTCGAGCTAGTCGAAAAAAGAATGCCTACACGTCAAACTCCGTCAAGCATTTAAACAGCGAAGGAACAAAAGAGACGACAAATTATCTGAGCCTTACCTGTTTACATATCATTACGCATTACCTCGCCTCTTCGGTCACTCTGTAGCTCTTCACTCCTATGGTAAAATCCCATAAGCAAACATTACTTTGTGCGTGAAACTTGGTGAACATTTCCTTACCCATTCACTCCTATGAAAATCCCATATGATTCTGTCAATCTTTGCGTGAAGAAACGGCGGCTTGCTGGAGGAATGAAGAGATAAGACAAAATCCGCTAGATTTCATGCACATATTGTCAGATGCTTATGGGATTTTACCTAAGAGTAAAGAGTTGCAGAGTCGCCGTCAACGTCAATGCTTACTTTCGTAAGGGCCAATGCTGCAAAAATAAACAATAACTTTTTGTGTGAAATTCTCGAAAATGAAAAACCAACACCATGATTGTGTAAAGAAAGAGTCCTCCTATCCGATAGCATTGGGGGCTTACATGGAATGACTTTGACCTACGAGACATTTACGAAAGAAGCCATTATTTATGTTTTCGACATTGGTCCTTATGAACGCTCAGCGTCGATATCACGAAAATTTTATTTTGACCGATCGATGTCCAACTATGCCAGTTATACCACTGAGGCAAAACAAAAAAGGGGTCAGATTTGAGTCAGATTTTTGCATGAAGTTCCACATATGTTTTGTGGTATAAGGCTTGTACTCGAAAAAAAATGCACCATTTTTATCCGTGTGTAACTTTTTTATCCGTGGGTAAAGATTGATGAAAATCTGGTTATAACTAGTTTGGAGTGTTTTGTTTATATGTGCAAAATTTCATAACAATCGGTTCAGTGGTTATTGAGATGTCATCGAAACAAGAACAAAATCGCCGGAAAATTTTGCGCGCCGTCATGGAAAATCCGACTGCGACCATGAGATGGATCGGAAGACAACTGGGAATCACCCATACAACTGTGTTTCGGGTGGTAAAATCATTTAAGGAGTCCCAGAGGACCGAGAGCGGGCTGGAAGTGGAAGAAAATCAAAGACAGCTGACCCTGTGAAGGCCCGGAAGGTGTTGGATTATTTCAAGCGTAATCCGAACCTTTCGATTCGCGACGCGGCTCTGAAGGCAAAGTGTTCCGCCTGGTTCGTTCAGCAAACCATGAAACGAGCTGGGTTTCGTGTATTCAAGGTCCGGAAGGCACCGAACCGGCGTGATCAACAAAACACGGCGGCCAAATCCCGCGCAAGGAAGCTGTATCGAGAGTGGTTAACGAAACCGATGTGTGTGGTTATGGATGACGAAACCTACATCAAGGCAGACGCAAAGCAGATGCCGGGGCTGGAGTTCTACGTTGCCAAATCACGGTTTGATGTTCAGGAAGACATAAGGAAGAAGAAAGTGGACAAATTCGCCAAAAAATACTTGCCACTGTGGTAAACTGAGTAAACCGTACATCACAATGGGTACCATCAACAGCGAAATTTACCCTTCCTGCGGTCCCACGGAGGCGAGACATTATTTTGGCCGGACCTGGCATCATGCCATTACGCGCGATCGACATTGGATTGGTACAGAGACAATAACGTTGTTTTTGTACCAAAAACCGCCAACCCCCCAAATTCACCAGAGATTCGTCCGGTGGAAAGATTTTGGGCCATAATGAAAACCAAGGTTCGAAAATCGCCAAGGTGTTTAAGAACGAGCGGGAGTTGAAGAAAGAATGGATGAAAATGATCAAAAAGGTCGGCTCCACCATTGCACAAAATGTAATGAGGGGTCTTAAGGGAAAGGTGCGGGATTTCAGCGATGGAAAAGAAATTGAATAAAGTAATTATGCCGAAACACAATACATATGTATTAGTTCATTACCTGAAAGTTTCAAGAAAATCCGACTTAAAATAAATTTTTGACGAACACTTTTGTCTGGTGCATTTTTTTCGAGTACAGGCCTTAAACGAAATTTTATTTTCAGTGTACAGATATTGAATTAGTCTTGGGTGATCTAGTAGAAAAATAATCTGATCTCAAGAATGGTTTCAGAACCTATAGCATATTGTATACGTAGCAATAGATCGGGTACAATCCACATATTTAGACACTTTGAATTTGTTTGGACATATTTCGAAACTACAGACATTATTGCAGTCTTGGTTGATATAGTAGAACAAATTAACTGAACTCCAGGATGATTTGGAGAACCTCGAATATCCGGTAAACATGGCTATTAGTCGCATATATTCGATTCGTTTAGGATTTTACAACGAAAAATGCTAGGTTCATATTGGAAATAAAAAAAACATGAGAATGTCTCACATTGGACTGACCCCAGGGAGCTTCCGTATAAATCCGATGTGACTTATGGAATTGAGATCATTTCTCGATTATTTGCAGGGTTTGGTTTGAGTCGGTAAAAAATTGAGAACCAAATGAACAACAAAATTGATGACAGCAAAATAATCTGGGACGGAAAGGTTACAATGAATTCCACAATTTTTGTGACATCATTTAATGTTTCCGCGATTTTCGCGACTGAAAGTTCAAATTCGCTAAATCCGCGCCTGTTGTAACAGCCCTGTAAATTTCTCGACTTCCCTGGGCATAGAAGTATGATTGTACTTGCCACACAATTATACGAATGCAAAAATGGTACAGGCATCGAAAGCTCTCAATTATATAACTGAGGAAGTGCATCTAGAACACTAAGTTGAGAGCTCACAATAAGCTAATATGCGAAGCAAAAGAAGGCCCAGGAAGTAGATCTTTCACATTCGCTCTGTACCCCTGGAGGTGCCCAGAATACTTAAGCTTAGCAAGGCTACGACGAAGTGAACAGAACAATCAATTTTTTATAGTAGTTCCTATAGAAATTTCAAAAGGCCAGTGCAGTTTGAGATCACAACCAAATTTTGGGAGAATGATCAGGACCTGATTGAAAATCGATTGAGCAATGTGGAGCAATATTGATATTGTAAACTACTCTACTAAACATACTATGATTGATTACCGAATTCAATAACTTTGTATACCAGACACGAGTTGTCGTTGTTCTTCATTACAATTAACATACAATTTTATGCGATGGTAATTTGGGTCAAATATACATTCCAATTCGCTATAAAGAATAAGCAAAATAGGTCACCTTATTTCTCATACTGCCCTACTTATGGAGAGTGCGAAAGGAAATATTAATTCAAGCACACGATACCATCAAAGGGACTGTCCGAAAAACATTTGGAAATCATCATCAACCCTCTTTTAAACCTGTATACAGCATCACATCCGCGATCCACTCCTAAAACATAGTAACTAACCAACGAACGAACGACGGAAAAACATATGTTTCCCAAATCACAACATTGCACTGACATCACACCCAAACATACAAAGTTCTGTTCCAAATTAGTCGTCAGCATTATAAATAAACACAATATTCTTGCGAGACGAGAGCGCGAACTCAGTTCCACACAGTGAAAGGGGACATTCAACTTTTCTCCAATTCATAGTCACACATTTTGCCAAACTAAACCCTCTTTTTCGATTACGAAAGTGTTCGAACGTCTCAGCAGATGATGTCAACTTTCAGGCCTTCCATGCTGAGCTATATGGCTTTATTTTGAGCACGATCAACCGGCTTGCGGGTGTTGCCAATGTCAATATTTACATACACTTCATACCGTCGAAACCGCTCAGTAGTATAATAAATATGAACACAACGATTCGATTCGATTCGTTCATCTACCAATGATGTCACTACAAATACTGAAAACCGAGAAAACCTTCATTCTGCACAATTATTATGTGTCTCCTTCAACTGGTTTTGGCTATTATGTTCTACCACTCATTGGTATTCCGGTAAGGTTAGCGATTACTTTTGAATGTTGGTGAATTAATGGTTCACGGATTGGAAGAACAAATCACTGGATGCAAGTAAACAAACTGCACGGGCGACGAAATACCACTCACTCATACCTCACTATTATAGTCCGCACACTTTATCACAACCGTGGAATGGCGATGGATTTAAATGCACTTAAACGTGCGCAACTGTTAGCAGTCACTGTTTCCACGTGATCGATTATTTGGCGACCGATTTGGCTATGTATTAACCAGCTCGCGTCCCAACACAGATTGATCTAGCGTCGTGCTACGCTCATCGCCAGTGCCTCCGCTCATTTCGTCCGGCAAAGCAAAGCGAGTGAACTTGACAAGGCAAGTATACCAAGTAAGTATAGTACACGCTTCTTTCTCTACTGTTTACGTTGGGTTTCTATGTACTTAATAGCTGCAAGCATGTGTGAACAGTGAACAGAGAGCACTTCTGTTTGATTGTGTGACCAACGTGATGACATACTCAACTCAACTAAAAAAATGTTGATGTACGTCGTCGTACACACATTATCGCCGATTTGCTAGCGTGTATGATTTGTACATACTTGCATTTAGCATTGTTTTGGAATTACATTGTTGCTAGATCGTGCAACTAAAGTACAGTCACCAGCTGGTGGTTGGGACGCAACGTCAACGTCATCTACCAAATGTCATTCAGCAGTTGAGACGATTTTGAATCTATCGAAATCAAGTTTTTCAACCAAAACAGTGACCCACTATTGATATTGACGGCAGATAGTGGAAGGCCAAAATGACCTTCAAAACGCCATAATAAAGCCTACATGCGATTTTGTCATGCACACGCCAAAATTTCTTAAGCGAACCCCACACGTATCAATATATTGACGCGAAGGGAAATTATTGGTAATAATATTGATGATGTGAATACAGAAATACAGTGGGGGAAATTCGTTTAAACGCAATGTCATTTTTGCGTTTATTTTCAACACAAAAGATCGAGACAAAAAATCAAATATAGTTTGTCATAGCCCATCAGAAGTCTCGTATTTGAGAACACAATTTGAACGGAAGTTCATTGTGGTCTCTGAAAAAATCCAATAAAGGTGATTTTAGAGGGGAAATTCGTTTAAACGCACACTAACGTAAAGCCGCATTGAGCGTACCTATGCTCCTGTTATCTTGCGCATCTGTCATATTTACACTGTATAGTCCTCGTTCGCCATTAACACGAGTTTAAATTTGCGTTGCGCGGTAGTTGTTGCTTGTTTTCGGCAAAATGGGTAAAGGAAAGTATTTAAGCCAGTCGGAGCAAATACTGGTTCGAGAACTCAAAAGTCGCGGTGAGAGCAATCGCAAAATTGCACGTGTGATCCACAGATCGGAAGCAGCAATCAGGAACCTGCTGAAAAAAGGCAAGACGTATGGCGTAAAAAAGAAAACAAAGGGAAATTCGAAGATCACCAACCGTGTCCGAAACCAAATCATACAAATGGGAGACTCTGGAAACTTCTCTGCTGCGCAAATCAAGCAACAAATGGGGCTTTCCATTTCTAAGAGGCGTGTACGGCAGATTCTACATGGAAGTGGCCACTTAAAGTACACCAAAAAAGCAAAAAAACCCAATCTTCAACCGGCCCACATTAGCGCCAGATTGAATTTCGCTAAAAAATACATGTCTTGGACTACGGAATGGGACAATGTTATTTTTTCTGACGAGAAGAAATTCAATTTGGACGGCCCAGACTGCACCGCATATTATTGGCACGATTTGAGGAAATCTCCGCAGGTTAAGTTGAGCAGGAACTTTGGAGGTGGTACTCTAATGTGTTGGGTCGCTTTTTCGATCCATGGAAAGACCCCTATTGCCACCATTTCAACCAGGATGAATTCGGGAAAGTACTTGGAGCTTCTGGAAGATGTTTTGATCCCGTTTACTGAAGACGTTATGCCGGAAAATTTCGTATTTCAACAGGATAATGCAGCAATTCATGTCAGCAAGCAATCTTTGAAATGGTTTTCTGAACGAGACATCAGTCTTTTGGATTGGCCAGCTCGTAGTCCGGATCTAAATCCTATCGAGAACTTGTGGGGCATCCTGGCACGACAGGTTTACAAAGGCGGAAGGCAGTTTAAAACAGTTCGTGAACTTGAGTCAGCCGTAAGAGAAGCCTGGAGCTTGATACCTGATACAACTCTGCAGAAGCTGGTGAAATCAATGCCGAACAGAATTTTCGAAACTATTCAGAAAAACGGAAAGCAAACGAAGTATTAACTATTGTTTATTGTTGATTTTTGAACTGTGAACTCGATTTGATTAATAAAACTAAAAGTGCGTTTAAACGAATTTCCCCCCCAAAATCACCTTTTTTGGGATTTTTTCAAAAGTCATTATGAACTTCCAATCAAATTGTGTTCTCAAATACGAGACTTCTGATGGGCTATGACAAACTATATTTGATTTTTTGTCTCGATCTTTTGTGTTGAAAATAAACGCAAAAATGACATTGCGTTTAAACGAATTTCCCCCACTGTACTGTCAATATTGATGTATTGACGTCAATAAATAATGTATTGACAATACGATTATTGTCAATGAAAACAATCATGAGCTGGAATTAGGGCGTAACAGCCTGCTGCATCCTAAATCTTTTGTTAATCTACTTAATGTTATTAGGCTGTTCAAATTTTATTATTTAAGTTCGTTTGATGTTTATGATATCTCATTAGCCTAATTTAATAAATAATTGAAATCTATAATTCACCTAATCAATCATAACCCATGCTTTATTAAACTTAAACGTGTTTCAAGCAGTGCTGGTAAATATCACGGCCGTCATGAGACAATGAGAAAACAGGTCCTCTCACTATCACGAGACGAAACTATCATTGGATTTCTTGTCATTTTCCAATGATCAAACACTCATGAGAATAATACGAGCAACAGGATCGAGTGTTAACGTATCGCAATTCCGGAATATGAAGACTGTTTTGAATAATATGTTTAGGTAATGGGCAGCAACAACGGTCAACGGATAAATGATTTACAGGTTTTATTTCTTAAATACTTGATACAACGATTGCCAGCAAGGCCGGCTGGGCGTATCCTATGGCTTACCCTCCCTACTAACAAAATTCCACCCTTCCCGTGACACTTATGAGGGGTCGTAGAGTTCTCTGCATCTCTCTTAAGTAAGTGTCGGACTAACATTCCTCCCCCATCCCCACCAGATGCAAGGACGTGGCCAGGACAGCTCTGGTCTGTTGGAGGGAAACACATCCTTTATCTAAGAGGTAGTAATTAATCACAAATTACTATCTAACAGCAACGGATGAGGATGCGCCTCCTTCTTAACAACAGTTCAGAGCTCGTACCACCTACGACATTGTGCAACCTGGTTTATGCTATGCTATGCTATGCTATGCTATGCTATGCTATGCTATGCTATCAAACACTCATGAGAATAATTCTTATGCTGTTTTGACATCAATATTTCTAACTGATTTAGATGTATTTAAACAAGCAACCGTATGTAATCGGTACCCAAGTAACAATTTAACAGCCTTTTGGCTTTCACTCTGAGTTACTGTGGTTTTATAACGGCAATAAGCAATCTTTTTCGCTTAAATACAGCATTTAACAGTGCAAAAAAATCTTGATCAGTAGTTCAGCTTTATGCTGTTTTAAAAACCTTTTAAAGTCTGACAAGAAAATCAGAAAGTGTCTCCTTTTAAAAATGAATTTAATGCAACATCCCTTTATAAAACTGTTCAGTAAATCAATTGGTATTTGTTTTATTTATGTCACGACAAAATTCTTCATAAAGGTGTTTTATCGTTATAAAGGCAATTATGAAACCATTCGGTTCCAAACGGGATCAAAAAGCATATATTGATGCGTTTTGGTGTCAATGAAGTGTATCACAAAACATCCCACTGTTTACAATTAAAACTAAAAAGATGTATCCGCCTAGAGACAGAGAAAAACGAGTGGGGTATTCAAACGCAGAGTCACAAGGAAATGCCAAAGGATAGTCAGGTAATAATACTAGCGATAGTATGAAGAATTCAAGAACAACATGTGAAAAGGGCATACAAGCTTTTTGTAAACAAACCTTCTTATGTCCTTTTCTAACCACCCATATGACACCAACGTAAACCATCAACATCACCGGATAGGGGAAACTTTCCCCATCGCCATGATGTTGTTGATTTGCGTGGGCAGCCCTCGGATGGCGAAAAAAGGGCCTACAAAGGTTTGTTTACAAAAGGCTTGTATGCCCTTTTCTCATGTGGCTCTTGAATTATTCTAGCTATGCTGTCGACGGAAGGGATAAGGTATCCAATTCCAGAACTTCAGCCGACTGAGAGGAGTGAAGAAGCACAGCCGACTGAGAGGAGTGAAGTGTATGCGGTTAACGAAGCACTGGAAGCCGTTAAATTAGACGCTTAACATTGATGGCAATACACAGCATATTGTCAATGGCAGCCTTCTCCAGTAATAACGTTGCGATGATGATCCAAATAGCATCAGTGCCAAACTGGGACTGCGGAAAACTGCTGACAGGAAACACATCCGGAAGAAGGAAAACTTTTCGGGAACGATTGAGCTTCCACCTGTTCCAAGTTACGTAGACTCACTTTCTGAGTAACTGCTTCCAACAGATGAATTGCCCTTAGCAAGGATGTCACGCAACTTGTTGATCCAACGCTGGAGTAGAACATCGTTGCGATGATCGCACAACAAAACCTGGGACGGGACTTGACAATCGGGTAGCGATTTCGAACCAATTTGCTGTCAAATCCGAGCCAATTTCTGATTGGTCGATTTGACAGTAGCAATCGTGGAATAAAAAGGACAGTGGAATCGCATCAATCTGGCTGGCAGTGATGCCGGAATCAATGTTGACGTCAATGGCGTTGTTAATTGTTTATATTTGCGAAAGGAAAGTTGAAAAATTGATTGCACTGCGTGTTTTAACCGATGGATATTGTTGTTTTTATTGTGTTGAGCAAAAATGATATACAAGCTGCTAAACTGCGATAGAAACTCCGAATAAAATCCAAATTAAAATACAAAAAAAATTACATTCCTGGCATCATTGGTCAACTCCGTCAAACACCATGCACAACTTTCCGAAGGACATTCTTCAAAAACATTAAGAATAGTTAGAAGCTCGATTGTCAAGTCCCGTCCTGGAACAAAACTATCGAAAGATAAACAAATTTTGACGTTTAACTTTTTCTAGTCTACTTTGCCACCATTAATGCCGTCATAAAACTAAATGGATTA